ATTTCAAAAGTTGTTTTACGACCCAGTCAACATATTGGCGGGAGAAATGGGAAGGTGCAGGAAAAAACCCGAGTCCATTTGCCGAGCACGAAGCTCAGAGCAAATCGAGAGTAACAAGGAGTTAAGTGGGGCAATTTTCACGACACGAAGCCAATGTCTTTTGTATCATACTACTTACAATTCGCCAGCTAATAAACAAATGGATTTACTGCAGCTGCAGTTAGTGATTGATGCCCATCTCACAGAAGCCTTTACATTATGACCTCATTAAGGACGTCCTCGATATTTCATTTCCCTAAGAACATCTTCCAACTGAAGGCATCTGTCGTGGCCAGGTGAGCTAAAAGTGGGAGATTCAGGCCCATGCAGGGATTAATGTATAGTTTAAGTGCTGAAACTGGCACTTATTTATTTCCAAGCCAATATCTTTGCTGTAGTGAAGTGTGTCTCTTAACTTTCTATCTTCCGTTAGGTTCCTGATGGATTCCATTCCACTACCCTTCATTATTGGGGGATTTAAAGCCCATAACTCAGTGTTATGACTCGTAATTAAAACCAGTTACCGATCGAAGAATGTATCTTTCCCAATAAGTCACAGTTTACGGCAACTATAGGAAGGTGGGGGACGACACCATGAAGGAGTACGTATGTCTAACGCACGGCGTTGCTTTGAGAGAGGCTCTGAGAACTCTGCAGTCTGCAACTGCTTTTACCGGATATCTCAGTGTCAGGAAGGGAGGCAAGTTGGGGCCGTTAGGGAGTCCATAGTTTACCTGAAAACCATTTTACAATACACTTCGTATTCCAGGAGGTGTTTTGAGTGGTCTCTTGCGTTTCTATTGCTTTTCTGCAGGAAACAGTGAAGGCTTTTTCGTTTTGAACGTATGGCGAAGAGCCCTTGTGCTGTAAATTGTGCATCTTGACTACGCATTCATACTTTGAAGTAAGGGAATTTAGTTCAAAAGGATAAAAACATTGACAAGCTGGCCGAATTAATACTGGATAGCCAACAGAATTCAACTGCTGTGAGACACCAACCCAGATTATATTCATTCACGCCATAAGAAAATGTTTTTCGTGCCGTGGTTAAAAGACACTCAGAAAGAAGAATTCTGGAGTCTTTCCCTCCGCATGTATATATCCACACGAAAAGGGATGTCAGTGAGTATGTTTCAATGAGTTTACAATAAATCAGGAGGTCTTGAAAGCTATGGGTATACTACTGTGCGAGTGCTACATTGAATACAGATGTTAGTATGAGGGAATAAAGCTGCGGCAGTCTCAGGTCGTAGGGGGAGAGAACCTGTTGCCGAAACGTCATTATGGAACCCCAAGTTGAAACCGATTTCTCTGCAGTAAAAACAAGCGTGGGCATTCCAGTGCCATCGGAAGTTACGTGGGTATGTAATTCCCTAGACGATGGCTCGTCTGACACGATAATATATGTCACACATCAAGAAGACACATGGAGGTCTCCGTGTTTCAAAATCAGAAACTGTTCAGTAAAATATCAAATGAATCTAGCCATAGTTTAAAGTCGCTTTTATTAGTTTATGTGTAGTAAGATCCTTCAGAACCCTATCTGAGCGCTTCTACGGAGAGGCATCTATACGCGAACAGACTGCAGATATCATCTTAACCTAAGAGTAGGTTAACATGCCACCTAAGCTGTCACACAGAAATGCCTGTTCAAAATTAAGCCGCAGAGGACAGCACAATCCGTAACTATATTCTTCATTAAAACAGTCAGTCGTCAACGCATGCATATGACTTCTAAAGTTACAGGACGGATCACAGTTCCAAATGAATGGAAGGGAATGGTATGAGTAACCAAGTAAAGTTTTGCATCACAAAACTATATTGTCTCCCAGAATATGCTTTTATGGAGGTTCGAAAGGTAATATATTGCACTAGACATGCAATCTAGACTACAAATGGTACTTAGTAGCCATCTACCGAAACCTTTTGTGCATATTCCAGTCGTAATTTGTTGGTAGTGTTCATACATACGTAGCGCCACACACTTTTCCAGAACCATTAGCCTAGGGTTTGAGGAGATTCAATGCTGATGCTTCAACGTTGATAGTTTAACTGGACACACTAAGCTGAAGGCATCCGGTCGAGCATCCTAGCCATTTGGCATGCCGTCGTGTTACGCTGCACTTCTAGTAATCGACCATCTAGCCGGTTAGTTGGAACGCATCGGTATCTTGGCCCGACCTCGCAAATATACCATTCCATCCGACCGTGATATTGTGTTCTTTCTTGGTCTCGTATTTGTGGCTATATTGCAAGTTCGAATGATTAGTGATTGGTGACTGTGTCCGTCAAGTTCGCACCAGGACAATTCCTAAACCAGTGATGGTGTGCGAGCAGTATTCCAAAGTTCATCTGATCGTCGAGATTTAGTTGCCACATTGGAAAAGTTTTCAGTGTATTTCAGGGAACCAGAATACTGAACACGTAAATCTTATGCCTCATTGAGTCTTCGATTCTAATAATCCTTCAAGTCCAGTGTAAGAAATGATGACCGTTTCCAAAATATTGCATAGTTTTCATGGTCGAACAGTTGCTGGAGTTTTTCATTGTTTTTTCTCCCTAGATGCCCTCAGACCCTTAGCTACTATACCGTGCTGTAAGCTATAAGCAACCCTAAGTTCGTATGCATACATGTATGCTTCGCTGGTTTGCATCTTTGTTCACAGTGGCTGTTAATTCTCTTAACGTTGCTGTCATAGATAGTCATTTTCAGAAAAAAGGCAAAATATGTTAAGAAATATAACTAAAATTGTCACGCCGAGCAAGTAACTTAAAAGTTAGTTGACAACACTGGTATTAAATTTCATTTTGTGTACTTCAACAGTGAGAGTGGTTTTGAACTTAACAAAAACAATAACCTTCCTTGCTTGTTGATACACTTTATTCAGTACTTGAATATCCCAGAATCTATGTATGTTATCTTGAGTAGGGATAGACACCTATGACTTGAACGCTAGAATGATAGATCAAGTATTGCATTGCCCTGCTTGTGGGCTTGGATTTCAGGCAGCGGAAGAGGCACAGTTTGCCGGGAAATTACTTTTCAGTCTTCAAAACATCAGAGAGCAGTTAATGCAACAGCAATTTATCAAAAAGACAAAACCCAGAGTCACGTTCCTAACCGGTGCTCATGTGGGGCGTACTCCAAGCATCACAGCAACAAGCATTTACAGTTCTTCAGTTCATTACGTTGGTTACCCCCTAACTGGACATAGGTAATTATCCTCATGCTCTCCAACGTGGGTCGCACGAAACCACCAATGTTCCTAGAAACTCTCCAGCTTCTTTACCGACACATTCCACAAAATTTAAAGAGGAATAGCCCATAGATAGTCGTGATCTTAAAGGCCAAAAGTAGAAGCGCAAAAATGGTTTTCGTGTCCATCGAGGGAGCAAAACGGAAGCAGAGGGAACTCCTACTCCAGAAAGCCAACATGGCTTATAGGCTGTTAGTTTGCTATGGTCGAGTGAAACGTAGTCGGCCACGTAAGAGACGGAAAAGAACCGTCAAAATTAATCATGCACTCTGGAAAAGGATGGTCGCATAATCATCAGGTTTGATAAAGTTGAAACATTCCCGTGTTTGCGTTCACCACCTGCCTGAACATATAAATATGCATGCTTCCACATGAAAAAGCATCAAATGACATAAATAGTGTGTCGCAAGAATGTCAGCGTCTGAAAAGGTGCATCTACGTGACAAGTCACAAGTAGAATCATACATGCATTCTGAATTCCACTGCCAGCCATCACAAAGCAAATTACTACGGCAGATTCCTCAGTGCCTAATATAAGGCGCAGATCCTCAGATCAAGTCATGAGAATTCGGATTTTAAATTTTTATTACTCCAGCTATTGTCTTTGGGTATATTACTGGTGTTTATAAGGGGATGGCAGCAAGGGTGAACGCCAATATGCGCTTTCTAAGGAACGACCTGGGTTGTTAACCCCAGAATTATTCCTCATGGTATTCAAAACCCACGTTAGACCACACCTAGAGGTGTTCAACACGGTGGCACCTCGTCTACCGAAGAGAGATGCAAATTCTCTCTAGAAGGTACAAAGAAGAGCAACGAAGTTGGTTGTCGAACTAACAGGCGAAACATATGCGCAACGCCTCAGACGACTCAACCTGTTCACATCAAGCTATCGAAGAAAACGTGGTGATCTGATAACAGCCTACAAGATCGTTCGTCAAGTGGACCACCCAAATGGAACGACATTATCGGTCCGAAACTGACAATTTCATGGGAACCCCATTCTCATACCCCACCATAGGGTAAAGACTAGAGTAAGAGCTACCTTCTCCTATGGAGTATGTGCCTTGTGGAGCGCGCTGCCAAGGGAAGTGGCCGCAGCCACACCAGTCAACTCCTTCGAACGACTACTGGGTGAGTATGTGAGCGCAAGTGGCTCGCCACGAACATTTGTTAGTAGCAGCAGATGATATGCCATTCCATCCCTGTTTTCCCCAACCCCAGTATCTTCAGCGAGACGCACCTCTCCTCTGCATTATTTCCAGTCACATGTATCTCTTCAAAAGTACTTTTCGCTTCTCCTTTTCTCATTCTCCACCCACCCCGTTTCAGTCACTATTTAAATAACGCTTAATGTCTACTTTCAGGTGCCTACAACAACAGGAATCGCAAACTGTTGGTTGATCTTATCAGCAGGTCCGTTGCCCTCCGTAAACAAACCGAGCTACAATTTTCGGATAAAACACCTTCAAATAAACAAACAATACCTTCAAAGCTATAAGCAGGAAAACGCAAAGACCTCTGCGACCATCGAAGAAGTACAACCGAACAAAACCAACCAAGCCTCAAGAACATGAAGTGAGAGATCAAAAACTACAAGTTTCCTCTACTCGCACTATTGATGTTGGATGTTGTTGGATTGGGTGTTGGACATTAAGGGTCATAAGTAGCGCACAATTCTAATTCTATCGTTACATTGTTAAGTTGCATGCTCAGATAGTCATTTTAAAGGTAAGGATCTTCGGACCAGCTTGGGTTGTAAAACCACAGCAAGTACTTTAAAACTATTAAAATTTTTCGCTTAAAGCATCATTTTTCCATCAGCTGTAATGTTCAGGTTGGTTGCGTAGTAATCAAGTGCACTAATTTCCACTGCTTGTTATGCAGTCGCGTAACTTGTCTAACACCTGAAAATTCTAAGCTCTTAGTCTGAATCTTTCAGATTTTTTCTACACGAGGTGCCGAGGATAATCTGAATGGCTTGAAGTCCTGGTGTGCTGATGTGCATATGAATTTTGTTTCAACTGAATTTCCTTATTTTTTATTCCGATGCATTTGCTTACAGTGTTTTTTTTCGTAACGTATAATGATGCTATGGTTTTCGTGAAGTGCTAACCGATATGCCGGTGCACTGGAATGAGTTATAAAGGACCTCTGAGCATTCAAGTATGTAGGGTTAGTGGTTTGTTTCAACATGATGAACAGCCGTTTCATCGTTTATCAGATATGCTGTTAAGTAGACAATATGGTTCTTTTGCTGATGCCCATGGTCTTATATTTGTCAAATTTTCTTACAATGCCTGAATCGTTTAATTCCTCAGCTGCTCCTCTGAGTGCTTCAAAATCGGTGCACCGCTCATTCGTTTTGACTTCGTGCTTATGAAAACAAAGTAGTAGCAAAGCACATTAAGTTAATTATGTGGCATAGGCAGTATTTTTCCAGACTTTCCGTCTTCCTAAGACCTTGTGTGTGATCGAAATAGATGTCATACATGTGTTTGAAGCTAGTTAGTCAGTATGAAAACCTACCAATAAGCTAAATCTTGGTTTAGTGAGTGTCAAGAGGATGTTTGATCTAATGGTGACTAATTTCCTCATCCAGTCGACTCCTGAAACGGATCTACATTTGGATTCCGAAGCTGAAAACCAAAATTTTAAACTTCTGAAAGGTAGTGTATAACCTGTATCAAGCAGATATTCCTTCGGCTCTCCCGTCACGCACTATCCCTTCTTTTTCAGGTACCTCAAGGAGAACTAGCTTTCCATGGTGTGGACAGTTGAGAAGTGTCAACCGCGCCTACCTCATCATACTAATATTGTCACTCTGCGACCATTGCGAACAGTCAAAGCCATTGAGATGTCGTTCCTAGTATCCTAAGACTTCACCATCGACTTCATGTAGCAGCTTTTAACATCTGGACTCCATTCCAAATCGGAAAGCAAGTATCGTCCTCCAGAACTCTGGAATATCTCACCATGGGTTTATATTATGTCTCAGAGACATATACAGGATCTGAGTGTGGTTATTAAGTTGACCTTACCCTACCATGTGAATCTTCAAAATCCACTGTACGAGTATGCAGAGACCCAGTGGCTACCTCCCGTGGACTCGCTGGTGTGGGTATAGCATTGAGCAGAAAGTGCACTTCACTGGATATCAGTCAACAGTCATCTGTGTGCTGTTCGACTGAATAGATCTGTATGAATTAGGAAGGATCATGAGACCATTAGATGCTCATTTTGAGAGTTAATGAAAACTGTTTTCTGGAGAAGTTCAATGAAGCAGCTGAAAAGTGACTCCAATAACTAGGTTACGTCTACATTTCCTAGGGATACATTTTAAACATGACAACGGTAGTGTTTATCTTTTTATGATACCTACTTTTCTCAACCCGACATTTTTAACATTAGCAGGTAGATTTACGTGACCCTAAGCCACATCCACCCTACATTCTACTCTTGACAGAAAAAGATGTGTTGGTAGTGCGAGGATATCCACTTCCATTAATTGGATTTACTAAGCATTTGAGTCAAAGCCTAAGTGTGTTGCTGTGATCTGAGTTCAGGTACAAATTCTGCAACTTAATATCTTAGGGGTGCGGATCGATGAATACTAAAATCAGTACATGAACCAGCTCTAGATTGAAATCCCACATCCAAAATAAATTATTATAAAGAGGAATTATGTTGCCAAATTTACATTAATGTCGAATTATATTTTTAAGTGTTATGGGTTTTTAATGCGTATAGTAACCAGGATGACTAACATGTACCTAAGTAAATTCGACCCTTAATAGACATTCTGATATCGCAGCAGCGTCACAGATGGCGTGAGTTGGCTAAAGCCAACCGAGACTTGTATCCTTCCAAAAATTTCGTTAACCACTGAGTCACCAGTGTTCATCCGATTTCCCATGTAAGTAAAGTGTTCAGTGCGCTCAATTCCCTTGCCCCCTATTGCTGACCAGAGCATCATTGTAGACCAGTCCTGAAACAACAATTTGCATTTGGGTGGTTAGAAACGCATCCCAAACATTCTGAAATTGCCACTCAAAGTATTGAGAAGACTCTGCATCTTGTTAGCGTCTTCACCTAACAGGACTATCATCTGCGTATTCTAGGTCAAATAAAAATTCTTTTGTGATTAGGTCAATCCCTGTGTAGTGAGATGACGAGAGGCGGACCTGAATAAGAACACCTATGATAAAATTGAATAAGAATGGAGGGAGTAAGCGTCCTTGACGGACACCACTGGACGTTTATTTTTGTGTTTTGGTCTTTGTAGCATTCAGTTGCTTTGTGCTACTATCACATCCAACTACTTTATTTACTGTATTTTAATACCTTATCGGATGACAAATTCAAAGTAAAGGTTGCACACTTTTTTTGCAGGTATGCGTGGTGTGTGTAACTCATTATTTTTCTCTTCACTAGATAATGAAACTTGGTGATGCATTGAAGGGGAATGTTACATATGAAACTATAAGAGTAAGATAAGCTTCGTTATATTTGAAAGTTGCACTCATGCTTTTATGATTATTTTGTTGAATACGCAGTTAATATCTGTGCTTAAACTATTATTATTTAGAACTATAATTTGTGAAAATTATCTTTGTACTTATTAATACTACCTTACAAAACAGAAAAACTTTATTCATATTGAAAACTACTATTCAGTAGGTATCTACAGGATTATGAAGGAAAATTATGCTTTCTTCCTGTCTCCAAGTATTGTCATCCAGTTACAGACATCTTACATTTGACTTTAAAAATTCTAATGGCTAATGTCAGGACGAATGAACTCTTCAAAAAAAATCAGTCAAAATCATAAGTTTCTACATCTACTCTATGCGGGTCTATAGACAGGCTATAAGTCCACCAAAACCTTAAATACCATTTGTTCTTGACAACCATCTAACTTGCTACGTGATTGTGGGCATGCATAGCGGTAACAAGGGAAGAATTATTGAATGAGTTTGTTTAAAGCTACTTTCTTTGATTCTTGTGGTCAATAAACAAGTGTCTTATTCATTCTGTCTTCTGGTCTCTTCTGTTGGAACTAGTAGTAAGATTAGTAACAATCAGAAAGCACAAAAATCAGCTGTCCTTTAAGTAAAGTGATTTGATCGTCAGCATTCAACTTTCAGACTAAAGTTTATTTTAATAACATTCCTTTTTAACAGTAATTCAAGTGTTCAAGAGAAAATTGATTGAATTTCCTAGATGTTTTTGAGGGTTAGACAGGTCTGAAAAGTAATTTTCAGTTGCAAAGCAGATGGGATTCTGTTAGTTTCATAATGAATGCGGAGTTTTTAAAACTGTAAAAGCGTTCGAAATATTCCAAGTTATTAACAATATAGAGCTTAACACCTTTCTTAGACAGTCAAGTGATGTTATTAGCCTACACAAGATAGGTGTAACTCAATGCCTGCTGCATGAATGTGCACAAGGTTGCTGAGTACATCTCTTTCTTCCTTTTTCGTATGCGCATTTCGTCCTGTTTGGGACTCGTCAGCTGGATGTACCTGCTTCCCAGTAAGTGATGTTGTTCCCGCCGGGGTTCGAACTCGGGAGTGACCGCTTCAAACGCCAGGGCGTTATCCCTACACCACCGAGCCACGATAGCCACTTGCTGTGCGACGGGTATAGTTTTTAGTATAATGCTCATCCTGGATTCCACTGCTAGCCATGATCCATTGTTAACAATTAGAACGCTGGCAATGTCGAGGCATCCTTACAGGGGCCCATATGCCAATAGAGACCGATTAATTCGGTCCAATCAACGACTGTATCATATTAAATCAATCATACTAATAAAACTGAAGTCGAGAAATCCTTAAGCAAGAAAGGGTGAACATATATAGAAGTGATTAAGTCTACAATATCTCTATTAGTTTGGATTCATTTCATTGTGCTGTTCAGAGATAATTATTTTTGCTACCCTATTGATTCATGTTATGAGATATACAATTATCATCCATACAATTCACACAAACTGTCAATAAGTTGTTGCGCTAAAGTCATAGTTCCATCTGATCACCATGAGGAATTGTTATTTTTCTTTCCTGTAATCAACTTATCATATCAATGTAATCATTGGTTGTACATGCTCAATTTGTGCTAGCTTGCAACTATATTCACTTTTCTGAATCTAAAACTTTATAACTCTGGTTTCTAATTATCAATAATAGTAGAATGATAAATCATTGTTGGGAACTGTTTACCATTGACTAATCATACAGCAATCCATTCTTGATAATTCTTGAGGAATACTTAGTTTGTCATGCAGGTCTCTCATCTCTTTGTGAAAGCTAAATCCAGTTAACATGTAACTCTTAACGAGACTGTATGATCAAAGCAAGGTATTAATTTGGCAGTTAGGCAAAATGTATTACATGCTATATAACTGAGTAATTGATAAAAAAAATCTTTCGAAATTTTGTGAATACTAGTCTAAATAATCACATAGAATCGAGAAAAGATTTATACATGTAGTAATAATATATTTTATGATTAATTTTTTTTGTATGTAGCCTTATGTTATATCATGCCTGCCAGATGATTCTTTGGCTTCAGAGTCATGTATTGCTGATTTAGAATTTGCATCTAACTACCTGGATTGCACGTATTTTACTCTGCGTGTGCTGAACACGGAATTGTTACAGATAAAGCAGGCGTCTAAAATTAAGGTTAGTTTATATTTTAGTTAATTATTAAGCGATAGGTTATTGTATTTCTGTTGAAAGTAGGATACCGAGTTAAATTGTACTCACTTTCTGCGTTTTACGATCCAATTTTGTGTGGATAAGATAAATTTTCAAATTGAAAATCTATTTATGCACTGTCTTCTATCTTAGTCAACTGATCAAGCCTTTCTTCATATTTATTCCCTTCATTTCCGTATTTTAACTATTTTCCGAAACTTTACTACAATAAAGTTTCGGTAAATGTTCCCTTTTTGAACAATATCTGTATTCTATGGTGGGAAGTGTGTATAGTCATTGTATATAATGGTTCGACGTCACCTAGCTTTCTTACACGGATATAGCTGAATATTAAACTGTACTAGAATCAGGATTACCTATCAGTCTATTAAAGAGTGTAGATCATATGTTATTTGGTGAATGAAATTATTAGTGATTTTCAAGGTTGTCTTTATACTTGTTTGGTGCACATCATAAGTACAGTTATCTTGTGGAGTCTTTTTTGTGAAAAACTTCAAAAGTTTCACTTAAGTATTGAGACTTGGTGAGCACAACAGAATTGTGATTAATATAACAACAGAATTTCGAATAAGTTGATTGCTGAAGTGGTCGATGATATTCCGATTAAAAATCTTCACACATTTCATGTTCTGAATGGAAGACTTCGAGTAGTGGTGTAATTGATCCAATGTACTTCAATCTCATTGTCCTGTTTTCCATAATCGGTGGGAAGCCATGCAAGTGCCTTGAAGAAACTTATATTGCTGTTCTAACCCTTATCAACCACATTATTTGAATTGTATTTAGGTAGTACAATAGATTATAGTAAAGATGGATAGTAGCTAGCAGTGGAATCCAGGATGCGGATTTTGTCCTATTTGGATCTCGTCAGCCGAATGTACCTGCTTCCCAGTGAGTGATGTTCCCACCGGGGTTCGGACTCAGAAGCGATCGCTTCAAACGCCAGAGCGTTATCCACTACCTCACCGAGCCACGATAGCCACTTCTTGTGCGATGGGTATAGCTTTAGTGTTATTGCTTGTACTATACCGTCGTTGATTGGACCGAATTGATCGGTCTCTATATTGGCATATGGGTTCCTGTACGGATGCCTCGATATTGCTTGTGTTTTAATTATATAAAGTAATGATGGATCATGGCTAGCAGTGGAATCCAGGATGCGCAATAACAATAGATTATTTCAAAAAGTGTGATAGACTGGTAATTATCCCATGATGTTGGAAGGACACAGTTATAGTGCTCATTTTCGTAAAGATCTACATGAAGTATATGAAAATCTTCTGAAGTTTATTATTACTTGAGTTCAGAACGTAGACTGGTGTCATACTAATCAAATGACGTGAGAGAAAATGAAATATACTGCTAAACTACATGAGTATCTACAAGGTATGCACGCTTATTTAAGGCTTTAGCTAGTTATCCTAGTGAATGTCTGCTTCGCTTTCTCATAGCCAAACTTAACAGTAATAAACAAGCATATCCAGGTCACAAAGTATTATTTTTTCTTATTAACTGGATGTAGGTGTATGCTTTGAATTAACTAACATATCATAACATGAATTGTTATTTTGGGAATTATTTATAAATTACGCGGTTTCTTATTAATTTTTTTCTTCATTATTATATTTATTCAGTTCATGACGTCTTTATGTTACAGATTACAGAGCAAATTTTAGAAATGTCCAAGTAGATCATCCAATTGAGGCGTAAGAATGTACATCGTTGAGGTGTGGACATATTCAGAATGAAATGTCTTTACGTAATATTAGGTATGCAGATAATATCCTTTTGTACAACATAGTATGTTGTACATAAAGTATTCTATGGGTAAACAGTCACCATTTGTAAGCATGGTATGCATCATCAAAGTGAGATTGTCAGAAATATCCACTTGCATTCTTATCTTTATGATACTGTAGATTTTGTATAACCTATCTCTTGTTGCCTATACTGTGTGAAGTCTTTATGTTTGAAGCAAAATGAATGATAACTTTGACTCAGTAAATAATCTCATACGTGTTGTCTTTTCCATACTTTCGGTTTAGTCTAATAGCTATTACAGAAATGTACTAACTATATTTGATCTCCTACTTAAACCGGAGAAAAAACCATCAGGATTTCTAGGAGATTTGCCGAAGCGTAAGTGTTTTGCTTCGTCTGTTATTTCTTTTGGTAATTAATTTCTATATTATCTCATACTGGTTTAATTATATCTTACAAATATCAGTCTTACAAAATCTTACTTTTTACTGATAATACTTACAGAAATTAAATGTATAAACTAGAAGTCCTAGACAGTTTAACTGACCAACCATAGTTTTGTTTGCAAAGTAATCGTTGTATTTAGTGCTCACGGATGCGCTTATGGACGTCTCTCTATCCCTCTCTCTGTCTGGATTTGCAAAGACTGACTGAATCACGGGAGAAGCCCTGGTTATTTGTAGAGTATACAGTGGGAATAGCTTAAGAACTCGATTTTGAAGCTATAGGTCTTGGGTTCGAAGTCCACCCAGCTTACTTCAGCCTGAGCAATCGGGTAGTATCACAAGCCCTAGCACAACAATTGTGTCTCATAGTCTAGTACATAAATGTTTACTAGTTTGAGTTACATCAGAATAAACAGATTAAGTAGGGGTAGAGGCTGACAAAATGCAGAGTCTTCTGGACACCTTGGGTGGCAGTTTGAGAACGTTTGGGGGTGTATTTCTTATCCGCCGGGTATAGAGTTCTAGGCAGAAGAAGTAAATCAGTTAATAAGGTTATAAACCTTCACTGACTGAGGAAGCTGGAATTCCGTTGTAGGTACTTGGTCATCCTACACCCCAATGCGTCCATGTTAGTCGAAGTGGGAATATGTAAAAATATGGCTTAGGGTGGTCATAATAAAAGGGCACACTAATCTATAAAGTCTGAGTTTGTTTAACCCTTACATAGAAGTCCAGATTATGGTTTAGAACCACGTAACAACTGAAAGGGATGGCTGTACACCTTAGGTGATTTAGTTCAGAATCGATTGTAGTGACTTAAGTATGATTAGTGCTTCGTTTCCACTATGATTATGATATCAAATATCCCTACTTGTTTCACGGTTCTGTATGACTTTTGATTGTATTATTTCCAGTTTTCTCTTTCATGTATCATGTTGCCTAGTACCTTGATGTGATAATGTTGGATTTAGCAACTTGGACTATTTCACAATAATACGGAGTCCTCTATTGATAGTAATAATGGAGCCGTGACACTTCTCTTTCAAAGTCCTTATTTGTGGTCTATTTTATCAGCTTGCAGTCGAGTTACAAGTACTCTGCATTGGAAACGATGTCATTTGGGATATTCTTCAGTTCTGATTTTATCCAGTCGGTCATTAATATATGTGACTCAACATTGTAATGCACTCAATATGATGTTCGGTGGTTGAAAATAAGTGAATGAAAACCCTTAACCCCTTTGTCTTGCTTTTTGGTACTCATCGGCAAGATCTATTGCTCACTGGTTTAAGGAGATGACTTTCGACCAATAAGTCACGCGTTCAGATACCGTCCCACCTACCGAGGTTTGGGGAGCCAGGTAGTTTCATTAGCCTTCATACAATATTTGTAGCCCATTGCCAATTATGCAAGGTTTCTGAATGCACTTTAAAGAAGTTCATCGGCAAGATATATCAGCAACTATGATACTCCTTCAAAGGTTCGTGGTGTCACCATGTGAGTAATGCAGAAGTTAGGTGTAGAGTTTTGGGGAGAAGAGGTAAGTCAGTCGACGAGGTTGTGAACCTTCATCGACTGAGATGGTTGGGATACGTACTACGTATGCCTAGTCACCGATTGCCTCGTCACACAATGTTGGCTGAGGTGGGTTCAGGCTGGAAAAAGGCTCGAGGTGGCCAGACTAAAACATGGCACCAATGTATGAAGTCTCTGACTGTTGGTTTAAGCCATGTAGGACGATGCAGACTAAGTGGTTGGGGTCCACGGGACAAGAGAAACCAGTGGTTGGAGACTGTAGGTGATATGGCTCAGAACCGATGTCAGTGGCGCAGATGTATACACACATTATCCTCATCTTAACAACACTATACCGAATCTCACCATTTTGTCACTCCTCTTTCCTTTCTTCTCGTACTTTATATTTCTTTTGACTGCATTCACTTATCTTCATCCTTCACCTCACTACCTTTTTACTTGATGTGCTGATATGAGGTGTGGCAAATCGGACCGTTACGCAGTAATGCCTGGTCCTATGTTGATAATGATGATGATGATGAGAAAACGAACTATGAAAAGTGCAAAGGATTATGACTCATTTTTTTTTGCACTAGCAGAAAAATCGCGAGTTGTTGACAAAGTTAATTCTATGTTTCTCTAGTGATAAACTAGATATATTTGTTGATTTTGAATGAAGAATAATCAGCTTACAGTACTGTCATCTATTTGCCAACTTGTATGCGGTGTTTCATGTTTTTACTTTAAAATTAGTATTGATCCAAAAAATAAATGTTGATTTCAGTACTTCAAGAGGTAATGCATTTTCTGAAACATCTGAGGCTGTTAGATTCGATCACAGTTCTTGGATATCTAAACAAAGTGAGAGGAATCGGTAGTAGTAATCGCTGTGATGAATACTGACATATATGGAAAGATGTGAAAAAAAATGTTATAGAATGACTGTACGTTAACGATCATATAAATTCTCATTTTTGGGGACTTGAGTTCAAGTTCTACGGTTACTTTCAGTAAACACAGTTTATTGTTTAAAAGATTGAACCGAAAGACTAGGAACTCATGTACTACTACACGAGAAAGTATCGATGAATACCACTGTATCTGTCGGAACCGGAGGCGTTTAGTAAGGTGATCACTTCTCTTACACTTAGTAGTTCATAATCAGTATGCCAATGTCTTCTGTACTTATTGAGAAGTTGACTTTTGTCTTCTCTTTGGGAAACATATGTCATACTTTTTTTGTTAAGGCAAAGTTATACTCGATATTCCTTAATAGACTTATATTCATTTCACGAAAGGAATCCAGGTTATGTGTACTCGTGTTTTAGTGTATACACTCTTGTGGATCTAGTTCTATGCAGTGCGTGGCATTATTATTATTTATTTGTCCTTTGGTTTCCTATCGGAACATAGGGCTTCAGTAGCACGTCTCCATTTGCACTCTGTTCTCTGCAGTCTTTTCAACCTGGCTCCACGACTGCCCACAAGCTTTCATTTCTTCCTCACTCGATCTCCTCCATGTCACCCTCAGCTGGGACACTCAACTCGTCATTTTCCCTTTGGGTTCCACTCGAGGCCTGGCTCGTGACGTCTGTGTGTGCCATTAGGAAACATTATCATGACTCTACTATAAGCATACCATAAAGGAAGGTGACTTTAAAGGCTACTCTACCAACTATTGAGATAGCCATTTATATTCGTTTATTTTGTGGAAAAGTACTTTCGCAGGCTAAGTACCGAAAATTGATTGGTCATTTCATCAGTTAGCTAGGGTAACCTTTAAAGTTACTCAAAAATAAATGATTAACTGTACAACTGGTTGCATCCAGGTGTTGATTCAATGAAAACCGAACTTGAAATAATATTTCATATCAATATCAGTTTACATGATAGGTCATTTTCTACATAAACCCAGAATAAATCTGTACAATGGGTTACCTTATCTTAACTATCAGTCTATTGTAAATGCTACTGTGTGTATGTAGCGAGATGGAATAATTACCACTTTTTGAGTAAATTATACTTCATAATTTTTGATTTTTCCTTTCATGAAAATGAATTTATCAACTTATCATTTTAATTTGTATTTGTATACTACACAGAGTGTTAGTAGTAAGGCATATGTGTTATGCTGAAGGTATTTTATAAGGTTATAACAAGCTTTCATAAGTAAGCACCAATAACTACACAGGGAAATATCTATAAGGGTTGAGAAATTAAGCATTTTTCTGTGGATTACTTCAAAGTTGATTGTTTACTCACAGAGATGTACATGGTGACTCAATTTTTATTTACGTGTACGGTAGACAACAGTTTAGTGTTGTTTGATTTCCCGTTGTTATACAGGTTCAAATTGCTCAACTTCTAATAGTAGATGGGCTCCTATGCGGATGCCTCGATGTTGTTGGTTATTCATGATGTTTTATTCATCCTGGTGGAATCTAGGATGTGCGTCCTAAATTGTTGTTGTTATTTGATACCCGTTGGACAAGAGGCGGTTTTCGTACCCCAGTGGTTTAGTGGATAGCACTTTAGCGTTTAGAGAGATGGGTACTGAGTTCGACTCTGAGTGGAAATAACTGACTGGGGTATATCTAGCCGATGAGTGCTTAATAGGACCAAACACTCATGCTGGATTCGACTGGTAGTCACCAACATGCAGAGTTTAGTGTATTAACTTATGGGAATAAGGAGTTATACTTGAACTTGAACAGTTAACACCTACTACAAACTATATATTTTTGAAACAGTTAGTCCCTTTGATGAATTTGCATAATGTAATAAAAAGATGGAGGTTATCTTAGAAGTGTGATGTATTCGCGCAATACACCCCTCCAATATGTTCGAAAGAGCTGTTACTACTAAACACCGATAAGGTTCGCTTCACTTTTGAAGGTAAACATTTTCGACAAGTTGATGGTGTCGCTATGGGCAGTCCTTTAGGACCATTGTAAGCTGATGTCTATGTCATATATAGAACTTTTGACTAAGGATATAATCAACAAAGTCTCTCTGCACAGGAGATACGTTAATAATATCTAAGTCATATGTAACAAACATGAGGATGTGAAAAGTCTTCTAGATCGACTTAACCCCATGCATAGCTACATTAGTTTATGATGTGAAGCCGAAAATAACCAGCTTCCTTTTCTTGACGTGTTATTAACTAAAAGGGAAGATGGGTCGATAAAAAGACTAGTGTATAGGAAACCAACATGGACTGGTCAGTACCTTAACTCTCATAGTTTCTGTCCAATACAGTACAAACGAGGTTTAATAAAATGGTTTTTCAAAAGGACCCAACGTATGTGGACAATAGATATATTGGAAGAAGTCAAATTCTTAACAGAGACACTCATGGAAAACTCATATCCTCTGGCGTTCATCAGTCGTCATAAAAACGTCTCAACGGTCTCAACTAATCAGTATTCTATGCTGAAGAAAGACGTTTACATTACACTACCGTACAAGGGGGGATCAATCAGTGTGATCTTAAGACGAAGGTTTAATTCAGTTATTGAAAAGACATACTATACAGTCAAGCTCAATATTAAAGAGAAAACGAAACCCATACTTCAGAATAAATCTCACCTCTACATGGATGATTACCTCACATCCCGCTGTGTATACCAATTGACGTGTGTATGCGGTGACACATCGGAAGCGGTACTCAAACTGTGAAGTCGAAGGTGGTGGGTAGGAAAACAATTACATTCGAATAATCTGATTAATACACGGGGCAGACAAATGTCATCCTCGATAGGTAAACACATTATAGAGACAGGTCGCAGAATTGACCCCAAACCGGCCTTTAGATAATTGTTTAGAAGCCGTCAAGACAGTATACTCAGGTCCACTGAAGCCTTAGCTATGCACAAGTTCAACCCACCTTTGTGTATTCAGAAACCATTTGTTCTTACCCTAAACCTATCTTCGCAATTTTTATCTCATTTTAGTACCAAGGGAGTGTTAAATTCATTATTTTTTCTTTATTGTCCCTGTATTTTCCAAGTCTTGTATTACCTCAGTTTACTTATCTTACCCGACCCTATTTTAATCCTTCATATAAAATGCCTTAACAAGTAAATGTGTAATCGTGGAAAATAATTTCAGCTCAGGTGGTTGATCTTAGTTGTATTGTGTTATCTGAGTTGAGTTGTGTTTAATAGTGAAGCTTTCATCGTATTTCTACACAACATCATCAGCACTAACTTCAATATAAAGTGACCTGTCAATCTCTCTTCTTGAGTCATTCACTAGCTTACTCTGACCATGTGGTCTGTGATTACTTGTTTCCTTTGATTGTTCTGTATTTGACTGTATAGACTCTCCTGTCGACTGTTCCTCTGCTTCACCTCTCACCTTTCTGTCGTTTATCATCTTTCTTATTGGTTCATAGATTCGGTCCATATCCATACATCTATTGATTACTGACTGACTGAACTCAATCCCAAGCTTCTAGGAACTCCATCATATTCTTTGTGTTTCCTCTCTCCATCCACGATTTCCACATTGTCAAAGTTGAATTCATTTCCATAATTACTCACATGCATTGTAATGAGTGACGAAATGTCATGTGTGACGTTTAATCGCTAATTAGTGCTCATCCTCAAGTGTACAGAAAACCAACATACACTGATCACGTCCTCAACTACAATAGCAATAACCCAACAACACACAAAATCAGTTGCCTGCAGACTCTACTCAATAGAGAAAGAATACTGCAGTACAAGAACTTCACGGAGGAACGGAGAAAATTACTTGATGTCTATGTTATAGAAGAATGGCTACCCACGAAACTTTATCAGAAGATACCTATCCCGTACATCATGAACTACAAAGTTATCGACAGAAATCAATAAAGGCATCATCCTAGTGTATGTAGAGAATGTATCAGGAATCACGACAGGAGTACTGAGACCAGTTGGAATTGGTGTGGATACTCATAAACCAACAAATTCTGTGCAAACACAATTGTACAGACGAAAAGATGCCACAAGGAAAGAAGACAAACTGAATATCATTTATAGAATCAGTTGCAATGACTGTAGTCAAGACTACATTGGAGAAAGTGTTCACCCTCTTCGCCTTTGTCTACATGAACACTAACTGGCTATTAAACATCACACATGACATTTCATCACTCATTACAAGGCATGTGAATAATTATGGAAATGAATTCAACTTTGACAATGTGGAAATCGTGGATGGAGAGAGGAAACACAAAGAATATGATGGAGTTCCTAGAAGCTTGGGATTGAGTTCAGTCAGTCAGCAATCAATAGATGTATGGATATAGACGGAATCTATGAACCAATAAGAAAGATGATAAACGACAGAAAGGTGAGAGGTGAAGCAGAGGAACAGTCGACAGGAGAGTCTATACAGTCAAATACAGAACAATCAAAGGAAACAAGTGATCACAGACCACATGGTCAGAGTAAGCTAGTGAATGACTCAAGAAGAGAGATTGACAGGTCACTTTATATTGAAGTTAGTGCTGATGATGTTGTGTAGAAATACGATGAAAGCTTCACTATTAAACACAACCCAATTCAGATAACACAATGCAACCGAGGAATATGTAAACAGATTGTTGGAAATGTATTGTGCAAATAAATCACATTTCTCAGAGAGCCTCATTCTTCTCATTACTTATATTTTTGTTCGGTGATTGGATTTATCCATGGTACTTCCTCTGATAAATGATTCTTATAAACTTGTATGTCTAAGTTGTCTACATATCTTGTGGAGTATTTCATTACTAAACGTCATGTTGTTTTATTCGGCTTCGATATACTTTAGTTTTGAATTATCAGGATAACTTTTAGTCTGTTGCGTTATCATTCTTAGGTCAGTGTTATGAATATGTGTAAAATATTAAAGTATGCCATTTAGGCATAAGTTGATCAACTGATATGTTGTACGTCATGTATGTTAAAATATATCGGTAACTTATATATAAGAAATTCGCAATGGCGAAATTAGATTTGTAAACAATTTTGTCTTCAAACTGTATCCACTTTTAAATACTGGATGGTCTGTTATACCTACTGTTTATGAAGAAACTATCACTTTACTGCATAGATTAAAGTTAGTAAAGTATTTTTAAACCCAAGATACTATAGATAGACTTTGACTTACTGTTTCAGATATAAGTAATCTGAATTGAAGTTGTTTTCTCTATATCAGAGCTGTGTCTCACTCATTGATCTAAGCACTTGCCTTCCAATCGGTGAGATCACAAGTTTGAATTCAGATCACATACCGAGGTGTGAACAACCAGATAATACCATTCAGAATGCACTCAGCAACTTTGTAAACTTTCATGCAGTAGGCAATGAACCATACCTATCGTGTGTGCCAAAACCTCGGCAGGTGGAGCGGGCTTTGAATCCGTGACCCATTGGTAGAAAGTCATCTACCCAGACCAATGAGCCACAACTCCATAGGTAGTATCATTAACCCTCACATGATAGGTATGGTTAATTGCCTACTGTATTAGCGTACACATAGTTGTTGAGTATCTAGTCTTTTATTTTTCGACTGAATATCATAAATTATTGGAGTTATTTTTGTATCATGACACTTTAGCAAGTTACCTTGATTAGTTGATACTTTATCAATGGTCTTGATTTTTTCTGGTTTATCTGATTTATTACTTACTAGACTTTACAAAGTGACGAGTTTCTATGTAAACAATGTCATAAGCTTAAAAAACTGTCTCATGTATTTCTTGTTAATATAGCAAAGAGTGATTTGGCTCGAAATTCTAATTGTTCACATCTGCGCCACTATTTTACTCAAGTTTGGTTGTCGTTTCTAAGCAATGAAGTAAGTTTTTTTTCTAGCTTTTCTAGTAATTAAGTATATGATTAGGATTTAGTGATCCTTGATGTAATATGTCAACACATCAATAGACAGACCTGCAATGGAAAACAAGCTTCATTCTAAGGTAGCAGTCCGTACTCAGTTAAATGTGTATGTATGTGTTTTTTTTTTACTTGACACTAACTAATCTATGAGCCTCATTGATCTTTCTATTAGATTCTCTGTTTAGGTGTGCTTCAGAAACCGTGTACTGTTAGTAGTTTATGAACAGTTAGTAAGATTCATAGGTAAGTACACAGTTTCTGAGTTGTTCATAGTATTCAATTTCGAGGTTTGTGGGGATTATCATGGACTGACATCAGTTTGAGGGACTTAGAAACTTGAGAGAAATGGGACTCCTCAGCAGTGTGCACCGATGATTCCGCCCTTCAATAATCGGACCCAGGACATTCAGGTTCCACGGCCAACACGTTACCATTGAGCCACTGGGTTGGAATCCAATGGTCCACATTTCCTACTTCTATCCAGTGCTCTCAGGTTTCCAATATTTCTCCAGCTGATGTCGGTTTATGGTAAGTACCAACCTGAAACCAATAAACCCCGCAAACCTCAAAATTGAATTAATCTAGTGCTCATTGGTGACTAGCTTTGAGAGATGATTCCTGAAGTTCCAATGAGAAGGCGTGACCATTTAGACCAACCAAGTCGAACATGAGGACAGTTACTCAACGACGGCATTGGATATAGGTCGTGCTATATCGTGAACTGACAGAAGTAAGAAATATGGTCCACTGGATTCCGACCCAGTGGCTCAATGGTAACGTGCTGGCCACCGAACCTGAAGGTCCTGGGTTCAGTCTGTGTAGGGCGGGGTCATTGGTGTGCACTGCTGAGGAGTCCCATACTAGGGCGAAACAGCTGTCCAGTGCTCCCAGGTTTCCAATGTTTCTCCAACTGATGTCGGTCTATGGTGAGTACCAACCTGATATCAATAGTATTAACAGGATTTGTATTAAAATTCATGCAGAAATTATTCTGCTGCGTTTACAGATTTTGGTTTTGGATGTTTGAAGTCCGTTGACAGGAAGCAGTGAATCCAGGTTTCATATTTGTTTGGCTCTGGTCAGCAAAATGGATTTTCAATTTTGGGAAACTCATATTCTGTTGGGGGTTCACACCTACATCAATCAGTGATGATCAGAGACTGTAACATTGAGCCCTTTGGACTTCAAAGCTACATCGGTTGCCATCCGTCTAATAGACTCGTGCACATACTCCCTCCCCATAGGTGATCGTTCAGGACCTGAACAACTTAGTTGTAGGCTCTGATTTCAGCGCCAAATGACACAAATTCCAGTCTTTGAGATTGCAGATATGCCTTTTTGGCTTGCTGCCACTTGACACAGAATATCGAATTACGGTGACATGACTTAGTGTAGTGCTTATATTACCAACTTGATGGATAGACTTCAGTTAGTTAGTACTGTGGCCTTAATCGTTAACGACCTCATTGGTTACTGTCCGGTGACCAATTTGTGTATACGAAGAATTTTTGTCTCAGTCTGAATAAATCGAATCTATTTCTGGTCTTAACATTTTGGAATGGAAAGACTTTCTTATTAGGTAGCCATATAAACATTCAATTTGTTAAGATAATTTCACCAACTTTTCTCTCTCAGTAACCGAATATCCAAACTGATAATGTATTCCTCCCTAATGTAGTCACCGCAAACCAAATTTGTATTTTTGTGAATGGTTTGAAAATTTTATATTAAAGGCTCAAAACCGTGAAACTTGGGATGATTCTCGGTCAAATTCTCAAGGAATTGCGATAATCATCCACTTGAGATCTGGGATTGAGGCATTTAAAATGGGCACATCAAGCAAGAAGCACTGAAATAAAAGATAAAGAAGCAAAAAGGAATCGGTCAAGAGTAATGGGAAGTAGTAAAGAAGAGGGAGGCAGGATATGGAAATATTGAATTCAGTAGGACTATTAAGATGAGGATAATGTGTAGAAACATTTGCGCCATTGACGTAGATTCTGAACCATGCCATCCAGAGTCTCTAACCAATGGTTTCCGTTATTGCACGGACCTCAACTGGGAAGTCTACAGGACTCAGACCAACAATCAAAGACTTCATCCGATGATGTCATGTTTTACTCTGATCACCGATAACCGTTTTCCAGCTTAAACTAACTTTATCTAACATTATCCCACGAGGTGGACTGTTGCTAGGCATACGTAACACATGTCCCAGCCACCTAAGCCTATGAAAGTTCACAACCTCATCAATTAACTTTCTTCTCCTTTCCAAAACTTTACACCTAACTTCTCCATTACCAATGTGGTAACACCACAAAAACGAAGACAAAGTTGGTCAAATACATGAAGCCTCATATCCTCTACCTTAAGTGGTCATGTTTCACAGTCATGCAGTAGGACAGAACGAACTGCAACACAGTACCCTCGAGCCTTAATTAAGGGTTGCACGGTGGCACCACAGATGATATAAGTTGGCGAAAGCCAATGAGGCTTTTTGTATCCGTGTAAAGATAAATATCCATATGAATTAGATTGTATTTGAAACCACAACTGGGCATTACATCATGCGTTATTTAGGGCTTTAGTTATTAAGTTTCCTTTAGTTGTCATCAATATCGATAGTGCTAGCTTCTCTGAAAGGCGATAAGTGAACTATGTTTCACTTAATTCATTATTGACGGTTAGGCAGTATTACAACGCTCATCCAAATTGTAGTTGGATAATCACTGAAAAAGATTTTCACAAAAATACTCGTCTAATTGTGTTGTAGTACAGCTTTTGTGATAGGTTTAGGTTTTAGTTGAATAGGTAACAAATTAATTATGTGAAGATGAAAGTCACTAACTATTCTCAGCTGAACAGAATGCTGCATTGTCAATATTGATTTCACGGATAGAAAGTCTTCATTTAAAGTTATAGAACAAAGAGAGAATAGCGAAAAGAAATTTCTTTCGACTATCTCATTTCCAAAATCTGAAAAACCGTGTTCGTATTCAAAATTAACTGAAATCAGTGGGATAGTGATAGAGTATTACGGAATATTGTTGCGCAACGCGAGGAATAATCTAAAAGGCGAAGGCGGATGCAGAAGCTAGAACCATGAGGGGGTTATACTTGATAAGTGGAAAAAGAATCAGTCAGTCTAAAAGTGTGAAAGAATCAAGCTACAGCAATCAAGAGAAAAGCGAGAAAGAAATATGACAAGATCGTATGAAAAGTTTACTAAAAAGAAAATTGCCGCTTCCTCGCCTGGTTAACTAGTTCACTAGTTACTAGCCGGTCCTAAGCCTCTACAAAGAGGGAAGGTTGAGCATAGGGCTAGCAACCCTAGCCCGTAAAACAAATCTAACCGCTAAAGAAACTTCAAAGCACAAACAAAAGATAAAAAACAAAAACAAACTCATTCCTCGCTGGAATCGGAGAGGCGAAATGACGCCAGTTGGTGAAAGCCTGCCTTCGGGAAGCCAATTAGCCTACGTGTCTTCTCTCCCTCGATGAAAGCGAAAGTAAACGTGGGGACATGGAATGTCAGTACCATGTTTGAACCCAGCAAGGCAGCTCAGATTGCAAAGGAGATGAGAAGGTATCACATTGAAGTGCTTGGAATTTGCGAAAGCAGATGGAATGGGAGTGGACTCTCGAAACTGTCAACTGGAGAAGAGTCAATAATCTACTCCGATATTGTCACCCAGACGACAACCACCAGCACACTCGGTTTTGGAGTGTCTATCATGATGTCCTCAAGAGCATCGAAGGCTCTCATGTAGTGGGAACCAGTCTCCTCCACCATCATGATCATGACAGCAAGATTCAACTCAAAAGGAAGGAAGGTCACAATCATACAACGTTACGCTGTGCACCTACAAATAATGCAGAGCAAGAGAAGGAGGAGGAATCCTACAGACAACTTCAATCAACACTGGACAAGACGTCAGTTGGCGATATCGAAATGCATTCTGATGGGCGACATGAATGCCAAACTGGGAGCAGACAACACAGGAAGAGAACTAACTAACCATGGGTCGAGAAGCGCTCGGTGAGGTGATGAACGAGAATGGAGAATTGTTTGCAGAATTCTGTGCATTCAATGATTTAGTGATTGTAGTGAGGCAGTGTGTTCAAGCACAAGGATATCCACAAAGAGAGTGACATGGATTTCACCAGATGCCAGGATACACTACAAATCAAATCGACTTTATCTCAATCTCAAGAAAATGGAGACGCAGTCAGCCTACTTGACACAAGGTGAAGAAGAGGAGCAGATGTAGGTTCAGACCACTCACTATCTAGTGTAAGGAACCTTCCAAATCAAGTTGAAAGCCTTCGAGGAAGCTGGTGATAGACCGCAGTTCAAGTACAACACACAGAACAGAAACTGAAGGATGAAACTACAAAGGAGATCTTCAAGGCAGCCATCAAGACAAAATGGGAGATATCGAGGAACATCCGTGAAGAAACCTGTGTGGAAGAACACTGGAAGTCTTTGAAGGCTATGTGGAAAGAAACCTGCACAGTCGTATTGGAAGGAAGAAGAAAGAAGATAAGGAATGGAGTGGATCTCGATGGATACATGGAAGCTGATAGAGCAGGGAGAGGAGGATAGTGAAGCAGACGATGAACCAGTGTAGTGCAGGGATGAACAACGACAAAAGGAGCTGATTACAATGTATAAAACAATACACTGGACAAAGAAGTGAAGAAGAGTGCACGGAAAGATAAAAGACACTTCTACGAAACACTGGTAAGTGAAGCAGAACAGGCTGCAGGCTGGTAGGAGAGACCTGACAACATTGTATCAAATAACCAGGTTGCTATCTGGCAGGGAAGAGATCAACGCAGACGAAACCAATAAAAGATGAAGAAGGAAATTTAATTACGAAAGAAGAGAAAGAAAGGAAACAATGGGCTGGCCGACCACTTCAAGAAGCTCTTGAATCGACCACCACACCACCACCTGCACTTCGTCCAGAAATACCACCCACAGCCCAGCCGCTGAACTACAAGTGAACATAAATCCTCCAACAAAAATGGAAGTCGTGAACACCATGAAGCTAGTGAAATGTGGGGAAGCAGCAGGACCAGATGGGATTCCACCAGGAGCACTGAGAACAGGCGCAGAGAGAACAGCAGACATGCTCACACCACTATTGCAGAAGGTATGGAAGTAAGAGAAGGTACCTGCCTATTGATAGGAAGAAGGGTTACCTTGTCAAACTGCCGAAGAAGGGAGACCTCAGTGTTTGCAAGAACTGGTGCGGAGTCACTCTCCTGTCCACCCAAAGCAAGCAAAATATTAAGCCGCATCATCCTGAAGAGGCTAAAGGATGTGCTAGATTCAAAACTACGACCGAGACAGGCTGGCTTCAGGAAGTACAAATCATATGCGGACCAAATTGCAACGCTACGCCACACATCATCTTAGAACACAGCATAGAATGGTAGTCAACTCTCTACCTCAACTTTTATCGACTTTGAGAAGGCCTTTGACAGCGTCGACCGAGAGGTAATTTGGAAACTGCTTCATTACTACGGAATACCGCAAACCTTTATCAGCCTCATTCAACAACTATATGAAGATGTCACATGCCAAGTAATTCACAATGCAAAGCTCAGCTCAGTGATGCGTTTGAAGTGAAGATAGGAGTGAAACAAGGTTGCAGCCTACTATCACCCATGATATTCTTGATTGTGGTCGACTGGATCATGCAGCAGGCAACTGTGAAGAGCGAGAAGAGGGGGATACACTAGCTGGACTGCGGAAAAGAACCTAGAAGACTTGCATTTCCCCTATGACTTGTGCCTGATGTCACGCAAACTTGAAGATCTGCAGGCGAAAACTAACAAGTTGACAGAAGAGGTGAGGCAGGGCAGCGAAGACGGGACTTCAAGTGAATATAGAGAAGACAGATGTGATGAAGATACCGCACCAACAACTCCAACAACAACAACAAACTCCAGTCACCATCAACGGGAGAAACTTAAAGGAAGTAACCTCCTTCACCTATCTAGGCGACACTGTTTCAACTACAGGCAACACAGGCACAGATGAGGATGTCAAAGTCAGAATCGGAAAAGCAAGACAGGCGTTCATTAGCCTGAAACCAGTGTGGAGATCTTCTGCACTGCACTCAGCATGTGGAACAAGATCTGGATTTTCAACACCAATTCAGTCAAGTCAGTGCTTCTGTATGGTTTAGAGACTTGGCGCGTTACAAAAGGGATTTCCAATAAACTACAGACATTCATCAACAACTGCTTACGCTGGCTCGCTACTGAAGATCAGATGGCCAGGATAACAAGAATAAGCAACAAGGAGCTCTGGGAACGAACCAACCAGGAACCCATCGCTCAACATATATGCACTGGAAGGAAGTGGAGATGGATTGAGCATACACTGAGAAGGCCGACTGGGGACATTACACGTCAGGCCAGTGGCTGAGTGGAATCCCCATGGGGAGTGATGAGTTGGGTGTCCGAGGTGAGGGTGACCTGGAGGAGATCGAGTGAGGAAGAAATTAAAGCTTATGAGCAGACGTAGAGCCAGGTTCAAAAGATTTCAGAGAACAGTGTTCACTGGAGACATGCTACTGACGCCCTATGTTCCATTAGGAACCCAAAGGACTAATAATAATAATAAGGTTTTCGAATACAAAGGTGAGGTTTGCTATTACGAATCACCAATGATTTGGCTCTGTATTGGTGACGCAGTCAAAATCCCTTTTAGAGGGGCACTCTGCGAGTTGCGAGTTGAAAGAACTACTGGGAGGAACCAGATATCCAGAGATAGGAAGCCTTCAGAAATCAAACTGTTGATATCCCCTCTCTCTCCTTTAGATAACCAGGCTAAACAATGTTCTAAAATACGTTAACAGATACGATGGTGTGCACATGCAGTGTATTTTTCTGTATACGAACGAATGAATTGATATATTCACACTGATGTAATAGAAAGCTGTATTATGTCCTTGGTAGATTAATTGTCTACTGTAGAATAAGATTCTGAGACTAGCTACATGAAATGTATTCCTCAAAGTTCTTGAGAGGCAATTTTTAGGGATTCTACCTGCGATATCGCCTTTTTGAGAAGGTTCATAACTTTTACATTTGTTTCTTTTGTGAATTTAGGTGGATAATCTTTATGAAGACGTTTTGACTCTTTATGCAATGTATCTTCAAAATCCCTGAACTTAACGACCATAAAATATTCTTTTTATTGATAGGAGGGATACAGGTTAAACGGTTAATAAAGGGTTCAGTTTCTCATGTAACCATTCAGTTTTGATACACAATCAGACAATAAGTCGGTCAGTTTTTTTGGTTTTTTCAAAGGATTTATATAGCTTAAGTCTTATCAGTAAGCAATTACAGTCCTGTGATCAGTTATTTATCACTTGGTTAGTTTGAGCCATGTTGGAGGTGATACAAACTAGCTAGTTGGGGTCCATGTGACAAAAGAAACAGTGGTTGGAGACTCTGCGTGATACGGCTCAAAATCGATGTCAGTAGCAAAGATATATCCACATTTTATCTTCATCTTAACTGGTATACTTTAGAATTTAGTATTCTCTCATTCCTACTTTCTCTCTTTTACTGAATTTTACTATTATTTACCAATATTTCTTTATCACTTGATGTGGGGATATAAAGTGTGGTAACTTGACCCGTTACGCATCAGTGCCGTGTCTTATGTTGATATTGATTAATTGATTGATTCGGTTTTATTGTATCATTTCAGTGTATCAGTCAATCAAACACTGCAACATATAGCTAGTTAGCATGATTCTTTTCTTTTCTACTTATAGACTGTATTAGCTATTGGTCGTTATTGTTAACGGCATATTTACATTGATGTGTTTCATTTTTAAAGAGGAAATGGTCTCTAACACGTCTTTTAACTTTTGTTATTTGAAGTTAAATAAGGCAGGTATGACAACCTGGTTTATTTAGTATAACACACAATAATACAGTAGTATTTACTGGATTCTCGTACCCAGCTACATTGACCAAATGGTATTTTTTTTTGGTCAGTATTCATATTATTGTCATTTTCTTCAACAGACTTTCGTATGACGAATACTTGGATGCAAGAGATTTTTTGCATTTCTATGCACTAGTCTGTAGACTGAACTTGATGTGTGAAGGTTAATAATATTATTCAATAGCTCAAAGATGTTTTCACAGAACATATTGTCTCATCTGATGTTTTAGTGAGAATGGTTTCAGTAAAAAGGAATTACTTCCTCACTTTTTTTTCTTTCTTTTTTCTCATATTCTAGCTGTCTGACGATGTACGCATACAAGCTATTCGATTTTTAGGTGATGGACGTATGAATCGTTTAGCTGAAATTCGTCTATTATCTAATTATATTCTACCAATTTTCGATCCTGATCCAGAAAATAAATTATCCTCATCAGAAGTGATTAATTTTTCAACTAGTTGGTCTCGTGCAGTTAGTCATACAGTACTTGGTCTAATTCATAAAGGTGATGTAAACTATCCACGTCTATACATTAGACTTTATCGTTTATTGGATGAAACTTTGTTTGAATGTCCAGATGCAAGACCATTTTTAATTGATTTAGATATCTACTTGAGTTCAATGTAAGTATATTGTTTCAAGTTCTTGGTAATTGTATAAAAAAGAGGATGAAATGATAAATTGTGTACATGATCTACCTAGATGTTTACTAAATAGTTTTCTTCTTAAATAATTGACTTCATATTTATCTGTTTACTCAACTGACATCACAGAGTTCCTACTGGGGGGGGGGGGGTTGTTTTGGCAACCAGCTAAACGATTATTCTGTTTCATTTGGTGTATGGTTTATGTAAACAGTGAACTTTGAATATCATCAGCTGTACACCATCTTCTTTCACTAGTCACATGTGAAATACTTGAACACTTTAAAATCGGCTTTTCGTTCTACTATGGGACTGGGCAGCAGTGCTTTTCTTTTACTGCAAATTGGCAGAATTAGGAAAATATGAACCAATGGATTCTGACTCCAGTGGCCGAATGGCAATGTGTTCTTTGTGGACTTGACGGTCCTGGGTTTGATCCTTGGGAGTGTACTGTTGAGGGGCTCCATACCAAGATGAAACGACTATCCGGTGTTCTTAGGTTTCAACGGTTCTCCAACTTTGTATTGCAATTGGTCATCGTTTATCATATAAACGACTGTGGTTTAGTTCAAAGGTGCAACAGGTGATGAGTTATCTCATGCTTGACCATAACTTAGAGGTATAAAAATCCTTCTTATTTAATATGTCAGCGTAAACATGTTCAGAATTATTAATCATTGTTGCAAACCAGTTTCAGTTTTCAAGTTACACTTACGTGAGGTCATTATCGAGACATGGTTAGAATTTACGTAAAATTACACTTATTGAAACACCAGCTGAAATAACACTCAGTCATAGCCGACTCAGATTTATCTGATAATTTCAAGTGGAACATAGAGTGTTATAGTTCATCTTCCTCTGACCTGATACTCATTCTGTAATTAAATTACTTATGTCAGTTAACTGTGATATAAGTTAAGGGGTAAGGGAAGGTAATCATTTACTAAGGAAATATTTCTTTTCAATGATTTTATTGTCTAACTGTACAATTATATTTGTAATCGGTAAAACGTTGTGTATTATTATTACTATTATTTGTCCTTTGGGTTCCTAGTGGAACATAGGGCTTCAGTAGCACGTCCCATTACACTCTGTCCTCTGCAGTCTTTTCAACCTGGCTCCACGACTGCCCATAAGCTTTCATTTCTTCCTCACATTATCTCCTCCATGTCACCCTCAGCTGGGACACTCAACTCATCGTTTCCCCTTTGAGGTCCACTCGGAAGCTTGTTGCGTGATGTTCCCGAATGGTCTTCTCATTGTTGTCCAATCCAATCCATCTCCACTTTCTTCTGCATATTTGTTGGGCGATAGGTACTTGGTTGGTTGGTTAGTTGTCAGTCAGAGTTCCCTTGTTGCTTATCCTTATTATTCTGGTCATCTGATCTTCACCTTCAGTACGAAGTGAGCGTAGATGACAGCTGTTCATATATGTCTGAAGTTATTTGTTTGAAATGTTTTTCGTAACGCGCCAAGTCTCTCAACCATATTATAGAAGCACTGACTTGCTTCACTGAATTAGTGTTGAAAATCCGGATGTTGTTCACGCTTTATGCTGATTGCTGTAGATCTCCACACTGGTTTCAGATTAATGAAGGCCTGTCTTAATGTCTTTCCGATCCTTGCTTTGACGTCCTCATCTGTGCTGCCTGTAGTTGGAACGGTGCTGCCTAGGTAGGTAGGTTGGTGAAAGAGACAACTTCCTTTATATTTCTCCCGTTGATGGTGGTTAGTGCTTGTTGTTGTCGTTATTGGTTGGGTATCTTCACTACCTCTGAAAAGGTTATGTAATTGCACTAAAATATTGAAGTGGTGACGGGGTGTTTTAGTTTAAGTCGGCAAATTTAAAAGGAGTCTTCACACAATTCTTCCCTTTCACAAATTTGAATACAGTAAAAAAGAACTATCGTTGCAGAATTTGGTGGATTCTCCTCAGCTGCTTTGCAATTTATAGAATATAACGTTTATGATGAAAAGCATGTTATGCAACGTGCTGTCAAAAGTCGACAAGAATATTTTGATTGAAATGAAAGGTAACAAAGATATAGGTTGACTAAAATTTATGAAGTTGTCAAGACCACTTAAAGGTTAACTATTTTTACAGTGATGGAATAAACATTCTAGAGAAGATAGTTAAAAAAATGGGAGGGGATCGTACACACTGTTATTCTAGAAATAGTGAACATGATATGGTTAAATAAGCATGATAAAAGAGATTAACAGTATTATGTAATATTGAGTATTAGGATGAATACAGTTCAGAAAGTAAGATTATATTTTGAAATAGATCGGAAGATAAAATGGAAAAAAGGGTTATGAGGTCATGAGTTTTTACAGTTATAAATCTTGGAGATTAATAAAACTACCAAGATGAAGTAAAATTGGTAACAGTATCATTCTGAATATATGAATCTGTCTGTAATTATAAATGCTTCAGTGGAGCGCACAAAACACAGGGCATGTTAATTCTGCTAATATTGTTCTTCTTGTTTTATGTAAAAAAGTCATTGAAAAAGTGACAATTGATCTCCAGAGATAAAGTATGGGTCAACTATTGTCAAAAAAGTGGGAGATTATTAAATGATCATAATCAGAATTTTTTTTAAAAGATCAAAAGTATTAATATAGAAAACGACGAATTGATAGTACCCGTCGATTTCACAGCGCTATGCACATACATCGAACCCCCAATTGGCCAAGGAAACTATGTTCCTTGTGCTTAATGAAGACATAAGCCTTACAAAACGCACAAAACTTAAATATTCATTTTGATGGAACTCAGCGACCTTTGTCTGACAACATACTTCCAATTCAACGGCAAGGTATACAAACAGATGAAAGGAACTCCAATTGGATCACCAATATCCGAACTAATTGCAGAAGCAGTAATGCAGAGATTGGAAGCCATTATTCTAACTGTGATTAAACCAAAATTTGAATTCTCTATGTGGATGACACTTTTGTCATCATTAGAAAAGATGATATAGAAAACCCTCACAGTTTGATCAATAACGTCTTCAGTAACATCAAATTCACAATGGAGAAGGAGTCAGATAACCAACTACCATTCCTGAATGTTTTAGTCAGTAGGACAAATGCTGGAAACCCGAAAAGTACAGGAAGCCAACATACACTGATCACGTCCTCAACTACAATAGCGATAACCCAACAACACACAAAATCAGTTGCATGCAGACTCTACTCAAAAGAGCAAGAACACTGCAGTACAAGAACTTCACGGAGGAACGGAGAAAATTACTTGATGCCTATGTTACAGAAGAATGGCTACCCACGAAACTTTATCAGAAGATACCTATCCCATACATCATGAACTACAAAGTTATCGACAGAAATCAATAAAGGATGTATCAGGAATCACGACAGGAGTACTGAGACCAGTTGGAATTGGTGTGGATACTCATAAACCAACAAATTCTGTGCAAACACAATTGTACAGACGAAAAGATGCCACAAGGAAAGAAGACAAACTGAATATCATTTATAGAATCAGTTGCAATAACTGTAGTCAAGACTACATTGGAGAAAGTGTTCACCCTCTTCGCCTTTGTCTACATGAACACTAACTGGCTATTAAACATGACACACGACATTTCGTCACTCATTACAATGCATGTGAGTAATTATGGAAATGAATTCAACTTTGACAATGTGGAAATCGTGGATGGAGAGAGGAAACACAAAGAATATGATGGAGTTCCTAGAAGCTTGGGATTGAGTTCAGTCAGTCAGTAATCAATAGATGTATGGATATGGACGGAATCTATGAACCAATAAGAAAGATGATAAACGACAGAAAGGTGAGAGGTGAAGCAGAGGAACAGTCGACAGGAGAGTCTATACAGTCAAATACAGAACAATCAAAGGAAACAAGTAATCACAGACCACATGGTCAGAGTAAGCTAGTGAATGACTCAAGAAGAGAGATTGACAGGTCACTTTATATTGAAGTTAGTGCTGATGATGTTGTGTAGAAATACGATGAAAGCTTCACTATTAAACACAACCCAATTCAGATAACACAATGCAACCACGATCAACCACCTGAGCTACAAATACTCTCCACCATTTCATAATCAAAGTAAAATATACGAAGTGGGTTGGAATGATGTGGTCAAATGCATAGGAGCATGTGAATAGAAGCGACAAGCTTTTCTTCTTACGTATTTGAAGTGAACATCAGCTCAAGAACGCTATTAGCCAGCGGAGAAATAATTGTTTTCGATGCACTTCTGTAAGAGGCTCTTCAGTGTTTCATCTGCTGCATGCTGTTTGGATCCCAAGTTTGTAATTCAAATGGCATTTCTATTTGTAATTGAGTGTGGGAATGATTTGTTTCCAACAATAAATGTTTCGGGATATTCAGTATCGAATAGTGTGATCCAAGAACGCCAATATATCATAATCGACTGTTCCTTTGAATAGACTTTTAGAAATTCGGTACGTAGTGAATGAATGAGGTTTTTTTCCAATTTGGCGTGCCCAAATGTTAACGTTGGTGAACTATCCGGTCATGATAGATGTCTGCAGTGATCTTTTATCCCTCCACGTCAACATAGCATCGGTGAAGGGAAATGGGACGTGTAATTCTTTTTCAACAGTGAATTGTATGAACGAGTAACAATCATCAAATCGTCTAAGGAGTTCGTCAGCCAGAGTTTTCCTCATAACTGAGAAAAGCCTCAATCATCTACGATATATATATATATATATATATATATATATATATATATATATGAAGTTTAAGGATTATTTATTCTTATGGTACCGTTCTTGAAAATTAAGATGATGTCAGCCAAAGCAGGATCTGGCTAAGATTCAGCTAGCTAAGAGTAACGTAAACATCAGACTACCGTTTACTCATCTGGGACCGACGTCAGTTGGGAGGTTGAAAAAACTCAACAGCTGTGAGAAATGTCAATGTGCAGTTTGTAAATCATTTGCAAATTAATCATCCTACTTATGACGACTTTGTCTGTTTTATTGTATATCATATCATTAAATTTGAACTATAAATCAGAGGTATGTCTTAATATTAGCTTTTTCAAGTGGTTTTTTTCAAAACAATTAGTTCCCTTTATAAACCTCGACTTGTCTTTTTACACTTATATCCGATTTTATACATGATCATGAAAGCTGAGCCTTTGTCAGGTCTGATTATAATAATATCGGGGTTCTCTTGTAGTTCCTTCATAGCTCTGAAATGTTCAGAAGTTAGAATGCTTTTCTGGTTCTGATGGCTATCACAAAACTGGTGGGCGATATCCACCATCTTGGTTTTCAGCCATCCCTGGTTCTCAATTGAAGTTGGGACGAGAAGTTTCAACTGGTTGTATAGGTTTTCAAACTGTGCATGGGTAGCCAAATTTGATGACTGCTTTCGAAGAACACAAAATTTAAGTCCAAGGGATAGGGCTTCCTTCTGATAGGTGGACAGTATCACTGTAGAAAGGTTAGTAACGTACTTATCCGGGTTAACAGGGAAATGTTTAATATGATTTTTACTGTCAAGTGAACTGGTTAGCTTCTGACGTATATTGGCTTTCGTTTTGTGAATGACATTACTACAAAATTGTAGGAATTTTAAACGACATATTATTGATAAATCCGATAGAATATTTGATACATTTATGTGGATTTAAAGCATATCATGCAGCTTATCCTGCCCATTTTCGACATGTGGCTTTCTAAGACGCATAAGATTGAAGATGTTTGGTTGTAGCTTATTAGACTTCAAAGTTTTGTAAAACTGTCTGGGAAACATATGACCTGAAATACATGGCTGATAAAATCGAATTCTTTCGCGTTCAGAGGTAATTTTGCACCTAAGGTTAACGAGTTCATTTAACATTTTGATAGTGTGCGGAGGGAGTCTTCTCTTCAAGAATTTAAAACAATTAGTTCCCTTGATTATTTGTGAAAACTCAAATCAGGTTACTTCAATTCTAAACCGACTGAACGAACTACAGAACAGCATATCCTTGACATGTGTAAGAGAGGAAGATGACTGCTTGCCGTTCCTGGATATATTAATTAGTCGAAGGCAGGATGGATCCATAAAACGATCTATCTACAGAAAACCTACATGGACAGAGCAGTATCTGAATTACCATAGCTTTTGCCCAGTTCAGTACAAGCGAACGTTAGTAAGGTGCTTATTCAGCAGAATTCAACGAATATGCACCGAGGATACTTTAGAAGATGAAAGAGGAACACTGACCGATATTTTGTTGGAAAATAACTATCCATCAACATTTATCAGACAGAACAAAATTACCAGAGCGCCAAAACTAGAACTGCAGTCAGTCCCAAAGAAGGATGTCTTCATCAGCCTTCCGTACAAAGGTAACTCTCAGAGTGCAATCCTTAAACAGAGACTTAACGCTGCTGTTAGAAGGACTTACTATGCAGCCAGGGTTCGGGTAATCGAAACCACGAAGCCCGTATATTCCCTCAAACCCCCACAGCATGTGAACGATAATGTCACATCCCATTGTATCTACCGATTCAAATGTACATGTGGTGTGACACATACATAGGGAGGACTAATAGATCCATGCAAGTAAGGGCCTCGGAACATATTCCAAAGTGGCTTCAGAAGCGAATTAAATCACCTGAACCCATAAATGTTGGTAGCGGACGTCCAAGTTCTTCGATCGCCAAACATATCATTGAGACAGGTCACAAGATTGATGTGGCTACTTCCTTTACACCTATTTACAAAACATGTTGGGGAGGGATCCTGAAATTTGTTGAAGCCTTAGCTATTAGGAAGTTGAAACCACCTTTATGTGTTCATGAACAATTTGTTGTCACATTAAATCTTCCTTGGTAAATTCAACTATTGAAAACCAAGATCGATGTACTATTATTTTTTCGCTCTATTGATTTTCATTGTTATTCGGCCTTCAATTCAGCCTTCCTACCTGACCTCTTTTCATTTTCTCACCCTTATCTTCATGAGTTTTTAATATAAAAATACCTATGACAAGTACGTGTGTGATCAGATAGTTCGAAATGTGTTGCGCAAATACATTACACGGTTCAGACAATTTACGTCTTGTTATAGTTTTTTTTATATAATTTAACAGTGGTGTCTTGCCAATTAATGTAATCTGGCGGATAACAGATGGTTTCTAAATTTTTATCCGTTACCTTGGTTGATTTCTTCTATATATATATATATATATATACAAAGCTACGCTGTCAAGGACTTGACATTAGGGGTTGAAGAATTTTGGCAAGCCATTTCGTCTTTACTGTAGCATAACATTCTTCCTTTGTTTTCAGAACCAACGTTTTGTACTTCATTGTCGAAAAATTGATTGATTAGATATAATAGTTAGATAAAAATATTCGCTCCATCTACAATATTCCTCAAAATGCAGAGTCAATTTCGGTAGACAATCATATTGGCAATCAGGTTCATAATACTTAAATAGTAACACGATCATCTTCAGTTAGTTTGCTTTCAAAAACAGAAGTTGGTTCGTTAGTTCATTTCTAATACTTACTACATCACACAGCAGATGAGCTAAATACCTACGGTATTGTAGAGTTTCTATATTTTGTAGTACGTGCATAGAGTCTTATGTGCTTGCTCCTGGTCTTTAGAGATGACCGACACGTAGAGAGTTTCGAGTGAAGAGGATATTGGTCACCTGATAAAATAACTCCTACATGAGTTAATATGTTTGTCCACAACAGTTTTAACTAAAAGGTTAAGGGGTACAACACTAGTTCTACTGACAATGTTCAAAGTTCTACGCAATATAGCATAGTTTTTTTCAGCAACCCAAGAAAGAATAAAGGTTAGCAATAGAGGAGACAGGCAAGATGCAGAAGTTTATAAAACATAAGAGAAGAGGCTGAGTAATACCAGATACTCTCAGCTTCCTAATATAGAAAGTTAGGCAGAAAATTCTTTTGGAAATTAGTGAGATATGAGAAGAACAGGAAAGGTCTGACGAAAAACACACACCAAGGTAAATCACGTTTGTAATATTCTCTAATGCACAACTATCAATAGAACAGGAATCACGAGAACTAAGCAGTTTACATAAGTTATGTTCACGTCTGAAACCAAAGTTTATGGTCTGTCATTTTGAAGAATTAAGCATGAGACCGTTTTGGAGAACCATTGTCTAACATTAGTTAGGAAATCATTCAGTTGGGAGCAATCTTCTGTAATGAAGATGGGTATGGAAATTGTTAGGTTATCAGCATATTAAATGAAATTGATACCAACTGAAGATGGTAGGTAATGCAGAAAGAATGAGAAAAGGCATGGGGAAAGAATGGCTTCTTGGGGAACTCCAGGCACAGTAAGCAATGAGGTGGAGCGCTTCCCTCTGTGAACAGTATGTTGTTTCCTATCATAGAAATAGGAATGCAACTAGCTGACTATCCAGGACTCAGTATTTGTTCCGGTTAGCTTGTCCAGCACGTCAGTTAATAATAGTCTCTTTGTGTGATATATATATATATATATATATATATATATATATATATATATATATATATATATATATATATATATATATATATATATATATATATATATATATATATATATATATATATAACGGAATTATACTCTGCCGCGGTGCCTTACTTCCATCCTTATATTACCCTTTTTTATATTTTTAGGCATCTGGCCACGTCAGTTGTTGCATCTTTCATTAAACGACTTTCTCAATTGTGCATATTCAGTCCACTTTCACTTCTACCTGCTATGCTTTTAATAATCCTCAATTGTTTAGAACGTCATCCTCAGTGTCGCATTTTAATTGACTGTAAGAAAAAGCCACCACGTAAGTCATTCCTGCAGAGTCCGATGATAAACCCACACAAACTGCAACTGATGTAAGTCTATTCTCTTGAAAAAATGCATAACCGTTTCATTAAATAGTTTTGATATCTAAATGAAAGCTACATTATGTTGTTTAATCTTTTCAGGTACAGTCGTTTGGTGATCCGTATAACTGGGAAGCAGAAACTTTTGAATTGTCTAGAGCATTAGAAAGCAGTCTGTGGGAAGTTTCCGTTCTAATGAACCATTATTCACCAGAAGTTTCATTATTAGCAAAAAAGATTTGTAATCCTGACCCAACAGATTCATCTGTTTTATTTGTATCCGACATGATTGATAAACAGGAACAGGTGAGAAATATTTCTGAAGTATAACAACACATAAGTAGTACTCATTACATTATAAAAATTGTAATGGTTTATTTGATATGTATACTGTATGCAAAAAAAGTAACACTAAATTGTCATCTTTGATAGTCCTCAACGGAAATTTCTAGCTTTGACACGTGCAAGTATGTTAAGTATTATGTACTAATTTTCAATAATCCACATAAATGGTTAGCATAGAAGGGGTAAAGTTTTCATATTTTAATACTCTAAAATTCCTTGTTCTCATTGTTAACTTTATCCTGTGTAGACGTACAGAGGGGTCTTGTATGTGTCTTAGCTGTTCGTAGACCAAATTTACCACTTTTCTAGCAGTGAGACGAAAGAAATCAACAAAATTGGTAGAATACTATAACAAGTAGATCGTGAACATCAGGGTGTTTAACATTAAGAGAAAGACAGATGGAAGATACTTGAAATACTAATTTTAATTGTGATTCATGTTCCTCGACATATTTAAACGTTGGTTACTGTCGGATGCACGCAGCTTATCTGAACAGTAGATAAATGACTTTATAGGTTCCAAATCGTTTTAATCACTTTAAAGTACTTTTCATTGTATTTTTATCATGAGAAGATATTGTTCATATAATCGCTAATTGGTTTGCCATACATAACACATACCCCAATGACTTCATCTACTGAGGTGGCTTGGATAAGTGTTGGCTGTGCACATCATCTCGAAGTGCAGAGCTGGCACAAATTGGATTGTGTTGGAAGAAAGCTCAGAATCACTAGATCGAGATGTGACACCAGTCTGATTGCTGGTTTGAGCTGTAGAGAAGTGTAGACTGCCTGAATGGGGTTCTTGATGGGTTACGAAGCAATGATTAACGAGTCTTGTTGACATGGTTGATATTTAGTCAGAGGGGGTGGGTGGGTGGGTGTATCCACTCTTTGACTTAAAGATTTTTATTCACCTTGGTGTCTGTAAAATCCCTTCTCCTCTACCATGAGCACTTGATTTCGTCGACTCAGAGAAAGTTTAAAAATATAATAACTTGTATTTATTAATATTTTTATGTTATAACTGGATACAGTTAACGAAAGTGATCTGTCATGTGACTGTGTTGTGTACGAATCCTCGAACATTCGATGGTTTTAAAGTCCACTTCATCTTATATCATTTATCAGTCAATTAGCTTTTGATAGTGATAAAGTGTTGATTAGTGTATATGCTACTTTCTATGCTCCACTGTTTTGCTTTTAAATGTTGAAGTAAACATAATTCATGTTCCTTAGACCAATTATGATGCAGGAAAATACAAAATCAGATTCCTTAGCTAATTTTCCAAGTAAATTAAAAGTTTTTTTTACTACTATCTTTCAGTAATGTAACATACCTGTGTATATATATATATATATATATATATATATATATATATATATATATATATATATATATATATATAACTACAATGTATAGATGTGCACAGATCTTACATTTTCAATATTTTCATCTAGATATTTTGTTTCACCTAAGTGTATAATTTTTTTGTTCTCTTCAATTGAACTCGGAAATGGTTGTGTTGAATTCGATAGTTTTCAATTTCTATCTACCATCTATGTTTAAATCCAGATAAAGATTATCTTTATAATTTCTTGTAGAGATTATTTCCCTATGTAGATGATCGACATTTTTCTCAGTCATTTTTTAACCTTTTTACGGTCTTCATGATAATTCATATAAGAGTAATGCATAAGATGAATTAAACACTTCAAAAGTTTTATATCTTGTGTGGGATTAAAGGCTGAAGAGACAGTTTTTAATTTTGGTACTTTTATATTGACATTATTCCTCAGTAGCATAAGACTGTGTAAATTGGTTGGATGAAATAAGCTGGAAGCCGTGGACCTAGGTTTCATGTTTGTTGGTATTCGTCAACAAGGTTTATCTATACCCTTGAGGAAACTGATGGGGATTTCGTGAGGACTCAATACTAGACAGCATAAAATTGTTTACTCTTCAATGACTAATCAACGGATTTAATCCAGTCTTATAAGAGGTCAATCATGGCACGAATAGCTCAGTGGTAAAGTCTGTGACTGCAGCACTGGTTTACCTGTGTTCGAATCTCACAGGGGATATCAATCCACTCTAGGTTGCAGATATATCTTGCTGACGAGTTCGAACAAACATGAAAGTTAGGTCTAGAGCTTTCTGTTGATTCTCTCCAAACAACTAACGTCAAATGAAGTGCACCATAATGGTGAGTCTCGTATTTTAATAGCCACACTGCAAGATAATCGATAGAATCTGGTCAGCACTTAGGACTAGGTAATATGAAATTTGTTACTCTCCGATGACCAGTCAATGTAGGAAAAGATTTACAAGTGTCTATTTCCACAAGATAAGAATATTTAGCATGAGAATGAACGCCAACTCAAAGTTGATTATTGTATAGGGAATCAGGTAAACAAGATTATAGTACAGTTGATTAGTTAAAGCAAAGGGTCGCGTGTACTGCACAGCAGTCCGTTATGTCCTATTGTATGGCTGTGAAACATGACCATTAAAGGTGGAGGACATGAGAAGGCTTCAGGTGTTTGACCACCGTTGCCTTCTTAGTATAGGCCGTATTCCATGGTGTTACCACGTGAGTAATCCAGAAGTTAGATGCAGAGTTTTAAGGAGAAGAGGTAAATCAGTTGATACAGTTGTGAACCTTCATCGACTGAGATGATTGGGACACTTGTTACTCATGCCTAGTTGGCGTCTGCCTTGTCACACAATGTTGGCCGAAGTAGGTCCAGGCTGGAAAAAGACTCAAGGTGGCCAGACTAAACATGGCATCAGTGTATTAAGTTTTTGACTGTTGGTTTGAGTCATGTGGGGTGGTGGAGACTAGATGGTTGGGGTCCGCGAGACAAGAGGAACCAGTGGTTGGAGACTAACTGTATGGGTCAGAATCGAAGTCAGTGGTGCAGATGTATACACACATTATCCTAATCGTAACGCTATACCGGATCTCACCATTTTATCATTCTTCCTTTCTCTCTTTTCTTACTTTATATTTCTTTTGGCTGGATCTTCTTTTCTTCATCTTCCATTTCACTGCCTTTTTACTGGTATGAGGTATGGCAACTAGGACCGTTAAGCAGTAAAAGGCAGTTAAAGCAAAGAATAGACCATACAATGAATTTCTACCTTTGACATTCTACCCTGAAACATGTCCTGATTAAAACTATCCAGCTAGTCATTTGGACTTTTTTTCAAGATGAGTATTCTTTCTACTAAATGTACAATAAGTGTGAAGTAGGATTGTGTTAAATTATATTAAGCATCACTTATCGGTTAATTCTTGATCTCATTTATTCCAAATGGATTGTAAATTAACGTCATTTAAAATTATTTGTTGTTCTATTGCAGGTTATTAAAGAAGCGATTAAATCTGCTAAGGAAGCAATGTATTTACTATCTCATACGCATATAACTATGCCAGAACTGCCACCACTTGATGGTTGGGTGTAAATATGTAATTAATTAATTTGCTGTTAAATATGCGAGCAAACTATTTTACACAGTTTCTCACTTGCTTTTGCATATATATATATCTTGTTTTAAAATGGATGCTGTTTTTTTGTTACCCTTTCCCTCCACCTTTTTTTTAAAGGTTTAATTTTTTTCGTACTTGTTAGCCTGATTTCACTTAGCTTCTCAAAAGTTGATAGTTGTAGTATTTCCGCTGAGATGTTAAACAGATAGACAAAATTAACGTAAAACCTTGCATATAAGTGCATCGGTGCAAGTTGCCAAACTTCACAGGTGGATAGAAAAGGAATGATATAAAAGAAGACAAAGTAGTGGTAGTGTGAGACAATAAACAATCTGAAGACGAAAGTTAGTGCGGATATTCAGGCTTTAGAAGACGCCATTGAGTGAATACATCTGCATCATTGTGATTGATTTTCAGCCATGTCACCAAGAGATCTCAACCATCGATTCATTTCGTCTCAAGCACCCCAATACAGTGCTCAGACTAACGGCCAGGGACTTCATCGACTGGTACCACGTCTTCGTCAGGCCACCCTGAACACTCTGCCGACCTAATCCATCTTTCACCAGCACAGGACGTTGAGGTAGATGGTGGCTTGGGATGCGCACTATATGTCCAAGCTGTTTCAGTCGACTAAACTTCATAACCTTATCAATCGACTTGACTATCTTGTCCGGTACCTTTCTTCTGACCTCAGCATTGCTCACACGGTGATTCCACCGCTATCAGACTAGTATTTCACTTTCCTCGTCCTTCAAAGGTTTAAATATTCCCATTGGGTCATAAAAAAGTAAAAACTTCAGGGAACAAACGTTTTTCAGCGATGTCATCCTTGGTAACAATACAATCTCATTTCCTTGTTGTAGTTTACCTTTCTCAAACTTTAACGTGTCAGTATTTAGTCACTTAACTGTAGTTTATTTGTGTGCTTAAACTAGTTAGTGGGAAATGGTTTACACAAGTTAATCGTCAATTTATTAGTGTGGTTCAAAGATACACTTTGTCTTTTATATCTAGGAAATGAAGTATTATTCACCGAGTATCATTCTTTCATGAATCGTCAGTTTTTTCAATACGATCTTCTTACTTGATCCAAGAATAATATGATTCAGAAACAGGAACTACATTTACTTTTTAGACATCAAATCAGTTGTCACACATATTAATAACTCCCTTGACCCTACATTGTTTCATTTATAGAAAAACCGACTAAAATGTCATTTTGTGTCTCCTAGCGTCAATTGTTTCTCATATATTCAGTGGAGTATACATAATGTAACCAGAAATTCTACCTGGTGATACACTTTCGAATTGGCTTTCTAGAATACTAGTCATGTATTTTGAAAAGAACTGAAACTAAACGTTCCACTAAAAACTTTAATCTTCAGAACTTGGTGGCCTGCCTTTTATTTATTATTATTATTATTTGTCCTTTGGGTTCCTAGTGGAACATAGGGCGTCAGTAGCACATCTCCATTACACTCTGTCCCCTGTGATCTTTTGAACCTGGCTCCACGACAGCCCAGAAGCTCTCATTTCTTCCTCACATTATCTCCTCCATGTCACCCTCAGCTGGGACACCCAACTCGTCATTTCCCCTTTGAGTTTCACTCGAGAGCTTGTTGCGTGATGTCCCCGAATGGTCTTCTCATTGTATGTCCAATCCAATCCATCTCCACTTCCTTCTGCGTATTTGTCAGGCGTTCAAGAGTAGCTATATCTGTTGTCGGCTACAGCTCTCAATATCTGGGACACTCTTTGAATATTCCGTTTTAGTTTGCTTATTAGTTGTGTCACAGTGAAACAGTATTACTTAACAGATAACGTTTTGGAAATAGTTTATTGTCCATATTTAATAGGTAACTCCATAGTTTACACAGTTCTAATCCCTTCTTCTTCTTTGTGATGTAGATTGTAGAATTTTTTAAATATCTGGAATAGGTGTTAAATCGTTCCTTTTGCATAAACAAAGATTAGGTTGTTAATCTTTCCCTTCACCTAAATTAGTTTTCAATGCTGTCGTTCTATCCCACCCTTTTGTATGCTATTGCATGTGTAGCTGCAGCCAAGCTTTTCTCTTAATTGTTGTGTTAAATATCTGCACATTTTTAAATATATTACTTGAGACAGTCAGGAGCTAAGTTTCGAGATAAATCCAAAGATTTGAAACATTTCAAAACACCAATTTTATCAAAATCAAAGGAACAAGTATCCATTTAACCATAAACACTTGGAAGTATGTAATCAGGTAGCCGACATATGAATGACTGGTTTTATTGCATAGACATCAGAACAGGCTTCCTTACTTACTTATTTATCTTCCAGTAGTCAGTTCCTTGAATAATTTCCTCTCTCTCTCTCTCTCTCTCTCTATATATATATATATATATATATATATATATATATATATATATATATATATATATATAAGTTCTACTGTTGGTCAACATTTAAAAAATTGTAGTTTTTCAGTCGATCGACAGTAATTGATAGTCGATTTTAAGAGGTCATGATTTTATTGTCAAGCTAAATACATCCACTGAGATCTACAAAACAAAAGCCTCAGTAAATATGCATATTATGATACAGAATCAAGTCAGTATTGTAAAATAGAACGTCTGGAGTTGGCTTCATCATAAATTATAAAAGTATATAAATTATTTTCACGATCAATTTAGCAGCCAACATATTCGTGCTCGTCATTCAAATGGTCAGATAGAACATTTCGTGGGTGCGTTCTAGCTAGCTTTACTAAAGACGAAAAAGGAGGGGATGATCGAGAAAATATTGAATGATTTTTCGCTGCTTTACTGTGTGGCACCAAATCCTTGAGCTCCAAGTTCTTTATCTCCTGCAGAAATCATGTTTGGCCGAAAGACTAACTGTCCTCGATGCAATTATCCCTAAGGAAATAAAACCATTTTTTGTATTTTTTTTTGTACTTTGAAGTCTCTGTAGCGGTTGGATTGATTTTACGGGGTAGAGTTGCTAGCCCTACGCTCAACCTTCCCTCTTTACCCGGGCTTAGGACCGGCTAGTAACTAGTGAACTAGTTAACCAGGCTAGGCGGATTCGTGCTGCTGTCCACCCCAAGCAAAATATTGAGCCGCATCATCCTGGAGAGACTAAAGGATGTGCTAGATTCAAAACTACGACCGAGACGGGCTGGATTCAGGAAGTACAAATCATATGCGGACCAAATTGCAACGCTACGCCACGCATCATCTTAGAACACAGCATAGAATGGTAATCAACTCTCTACCTCAACTTTATCGACTTTGAGAAGGCCTTTGACAGCGTCGACCGAGAGGTAATTTGGAAACTGCTTCACTACTACGGAGTACCACAAACCTTTATCAACCTCATTCAACAACTATATGAAGACGCCACATGCCAAGTAATTCACAATGCAAAGCTCAGCTCAGTGATGCGTTTGAAGTGAAGATGGGAGTGAAACAAGGTTGTCTACTATCACCCATGATCTTCCTGTTTGTGGTCGATTGGATCATGCAGCAGGCAACTGTGAGGAGCTAGAAGAGGAGGATATGCATTTGCATACTTTTGTTCGATTTCCAACCTGTTATAAAATAGACACTGCGTTCTGTCGTTTCAACTATGTGAGCTAGCTGCCTGTTCTCCGATGAGGTTAAATTGATGGCATGTACTTCTGAACAGGTAATCCATAACTTTCGAAAAGGGAAACTTGAGCTCTTACGGCACGCAAGAAAGCACTACCAAATGAAGTAAAGATCTCATACTTCTGTTTCTTGATGAAAATACACTTGTAAGTGGTCGTCCATACTGATATCCAGAATTATTCATGGCTGACATAGGTGTAACGGAATAGATGACTCGAAAATCCTTCCTGAGCACTCTACTTGACAGTTTTGATAGTTATTTGAATATTCTGCCCTCATTATGGATATATGCTTTTACCCTAACCGACGTAATATTGTTTTGCCATTTGCCCGTCTTCTTTGACTTAACACCCATTATTTGTCTTTTTTTATTGAGAACTGTCCTTAATGCTTCACTTTGCTGCACTATTGACAACATGGCGTTGTTGTACTGCTACCTACATTTTGTTTTGGCTCAACTTAAGGTTGTACTGTAAATTGACTGCCTGTCTTTTGACTGTCTACCGGAAACGTTTATTGATTGGTCCGGAATAAGGGAGAAACAGACGACACTATATGACTTTCCATGAGGAAGCATAGCTTAAACTATGGCATTTCCAGCACAATCAGTTACAAGGTTAACGACATCCCGAATCTTAGTCCAACATTATGTCACAACGCCTGGATATCGGAATATGTGAATTGCGTCTATAGGTATTTATAACAGCGAGTAATTTGTGAAACACTAAGGAGAGAAACTGTTAATACTGTTGACTGCAAGCAGATTAGACTCATAAGCTGGGGACACACGGTAAATAATGATTGGATAACTTGAAGTCAAGTTTACAAGTATCTGTTTCTGAACATAATGCCATATAAGATGACTGATAGGAAGTCAGTTACTGTATATAATGCAGTGTTTTATTTCATTTCAGAACGAAGGGCAACATCTGGGATTGGGACAGCCCCGAAAGCATAGTTAACCGGGGTTTGTGCAATGAAGGGCACAAGCATCTGGGTTAAGGATAAGAGATGGAGGCGTCCGATTCAACAGTCATCACTTATGTGAGTTCACTGGGCGAAACTCCCATTTTTAGATGAGATACCTTGTCAGAAAGGGAACGTGTACTGTTGAACAAATTTAAAAAGTTGTTCTTTGGTAAATGCAGTTACCGATAACTTAACTTACCTCTAACAATTTGAACACGTTTTCGTATACTCGTTTGATGAATGATGTACTATTTGTCATGAACCTTCCAAGAATATTCGATAAAATAAAACGAGAGGCTGAAGCTATTCTTACGACTTTATAACCTTTAGAATGAAATAGTTCACCTACGCACACTTCCACCCCCTTA